GTTAAGTACTATTCTCAATTTCAATTCATTTCTCAATTAGTGAGATAACTTATACATAATTAGGGGCGATGATAAAATAAAATTATCATTTTATTTATTGTTTCTTAAATAGTATGTCAATTGTCAAACATGAACAAGTAGATATGGATGGAGAAAATATTCAATTACTTTCTAACACTAATCAAAATAATGCAAGTGATAATAATATTATTTATATCCCCTAGGTGAATACTGGACATCTGATGGGAAAAAAATGTTCATATAATAAAAGCTATAGGTTATATGGTTTTAAGGTCATGATCAACTCATGTTTAATGTTGACTTTGCTGATGGGTTCTAATAAATTGTTTTTATTACTCATATAGATATTCTCACAAACAAAAATTATTAAAAAACAGAGAGTGTTATACTATTTGTGAAAAAATGAGTGGTAATGAAAAATAAATGAAAGGGGCACTATTAAGGCCGAAAATCTTGCTGGAAATGCTGCGAATCACATTGAATTGAAGTCAACACTCAAAGCCAGGGGCTACGTACTCCAGAAATCCAGCAACTTAAAAGTTTAATTGTGTAACGAAAAATGACAACTAATTAGTAAACGAATGGTCCCCTCACTCACTAATTAAACAAATTTCAAATTGTTCCATAGTTTTTAAAAAACTAAGACAAAGAATGGGAGTTAATAAAATCCTTGTCTTGTGTGGAAGAGTTTCACATGCATACATGTGAGCTTAGTATGATAGGAGAATAGTAGGGCAGTCTTTTTTTCCTTATAAACGTAAATAAATATTCGTGGCTTATGATCAAAGAATGTGGTACAGTGGATGAAGTTATTCCTTTCTTAATCAGAGATTTCAAATTCAAACACTCAATATAGAAAATTCCTTAATAGAGAGCACTTCCTTCCGAATGAGGGCCTATACCTAGATCAATCAAGCTCTAATATGGGTACCGAATATATCAGATGAGGAAAAAAGATGAAAAAATATCCGTGCCTTTACCATTACGTCCATATTCAATTACCGACCATATAACCCTATTCTCTTGGCTTTTGTCCCATCCCATCACTAAATCACATTCAACGTTCTTCCCCCATTCTCTTACGTATACCAAGATATGGTGACAAAAAAAGAAACAGATATTAAGGATTAGATTACTTTGAAAAATGGTTGGCTCTTGGAAAATGAGAATTTAAAGATTACACAAGATTTGCACAACAATAAAGGAAAAATCTTCATTTGTTTATGAATTGGATTTTCTTTGTCGGATTTCTACAATTAAGATAATAATAATTAATTGCAGTCCATGTCCATTTAGAAGTTGCAGCTTTACCTTTTGTGTTCCATTTTGAAACATTCATGAACATGACAAATTATATTGTTTCTCTGAAATCTGAATCAAGGAAGTGTTCAGTGTTTTGTAAGATCAAACAAAGATATGACATAAAATCTTGGAGACATATTAATCATGTATCAATTGCATGCAAGTTCAAGGTTCCCAAATATATACAAACGGCTGTCTAGGTCTAGCACAATCAAAATGTCAAGAAATCAAACACGGATATGTTCAGACTTTGCAATATACGTACATCTCAATTCTCAACTACCACAATATGGTTAACACAAGTTTATGAATTGTCTATTTATAGCATAAAAGCAACAAACGAATCAAATGAATTTTTATTTTTTAAAAGTCTGTGAAATAGAATTACATCACCTATATACTATTCGGCGAGTTAGTTGGTCAGCTAAAAACAATTACATTTACATTTGCTAGTCAACTTTATTTTTTTAAAAAATTATATAGAAAATTATGTTTTATGCATATTCTACATTTATATTCAAAAAATATATACATTTTCGACTATTATTTTTTATGGGCGGCTTATAGACTGTTATCTAAGTTAAGAAATCGATCATAGCAAAACAAGGATGAATTAGTTGCAGATGGTGTATTAGGCTTGGCCCATTCAAGAACACTTTATGGGCTTCTCGGATTGACAGCCCAAAAATAACACAAAGTCCTTTATTTTGCTATGTTCTTCGAGGAAATGACATATATATACAACTGATAGTTATAATTAGCAATAAATAGCTCAACAATAATTAGCATTTAATAGATAAATAAAAAAGGGAAAATTGTACATAATGGCAAACTATTAATTCAAATTAAATGTTATAATCACACTTTGATTTAATTGTGTCATGTAGCAAACTGTTTGCCAGCGCCTCTCTCCCTCAAACTCTCGCTCGCCACTCTCCTCTCTCGCTCACTCTCTCTATGCTCACCTCTCTCGCTTTATACACAGAAGTGTATAAATTGCGTTTCTGTTTGTATAAAGCG